ACGTTTTTAATTCTACATTAATTTCACATTGAGAAATTATAAAGATCTGTTATAATATATATGTAAAGAATTGAATTTATATTTGTAAAATATTTTTATAAGATAAAATCATAAGATATTTAAATTAAATCGAATAATATCTCATAAATTAAATGTAGTTGATGATTGTTTTGATACCCAATTATAGAAATGAGCATCTAATCTTTTGAGAAATTATCTATTTTAACTTAATAAACCTCTCGATTTTGTCTAAAAAAAATTTCAAAAGTATGGTTTGAAGTATATATTTAACCTTGCAAATTTCCAATGTGCGAGGGCATTAGAATAACACTATTTTTTTTAAACAAGTGGAACTTGAATTAGTTCATTGGGAAAGTATCTTCTTCGTCCTTTTTTCTTATATATGTCTAAATTGCATTGTCAATATAGTTAGAGAAACGAACAAATGATTGACTCAAGTAATAAAGAGAGTGTTTTTTTTTTTTTGTCTATATTTGAATCCAATGGAAGGTTGTTTGAAGGTAATTTCTCATGAATTTATTAAGTTAAACGTAAATGAATCTGCTTGAATTGATCTGAAAAGAAGATATACTGGATAAAACTAGTAAAACCCCTTGTGGCTAAATAAAAAAAAATACAGGTAGGAATATTGACTTAAGTATAACAACTAGCAATGTAATTCAATATTTAAAGGGCTAGAAAAGCTATATTCTTTGTCTTGATTTTTCATTTTTTGTTGGTCAAAATTGGTTATAGATGTTTAATTTATGTGTTAGATGTATGTGTTAGATGTAACAAGTTTGGTCTGTTTGTAGTGCTCGGTCAAGAAGCAAAGTTTTAGGTAGTAGTGAAGAGCTTATAATTGACTTATGTTAGAGTTAGTGGTCCAATTCAATTAACGTTTGACAAAGAAAAACAAACAATAAGTTTGAAGATATAAAATTGTTGAATTTAGTGGTCCTATCTTCCTCCTAATACTCCTCAGGTGATAAGATGGTTGGAGTTTGGATATAGAAAGTCGTGGTGCTTTTTTGTTTTTTTTTTTAATTTCAATGATGTTACGTTAAAATTAAAAATTACAATCAACAATTTAATATTCAATGGCTGGATAAATTAAACGTAAATGATTAGATCAAATTCATATATGATGAAATTTGATTTTAAAATTTGAAATTTTCGAAATTTCATCTTTATTCTTGAAACAAGATCTCACACAAGTCAAGATGCAGTATATATATTTTCCTGCTTAATTCCGTAATTAAGTAATACTTTTTTTTTCTTTTGCTTTTTCATCCTCACTTACACTCACTATTAGAAAAAAAAAAGGATTTAATCTCAAAGGAAAATGTCAAATTAATTTATTCTCTCTATTCTTTCTACATTTCACTTAGTTAAAGTATATATATTCCTTTTGTTTTTGTTCTTAGAGTAAATAATAACAATATTCCAAATGGCAGACAAAGAGTTAAAAAAATATATATAGATATAAAAACAGCTGGATGAAATCAGACATGATTAGCTGCTGCAGCTACCGGCAGAGAAACTGAAGTAATAGTTGCAGTACTTAGAAAAACCACAGCAAGCAAAATATAAAGAAAGAAAAAGGGAGTGTGAGCAGGCACAGTGAAGATTCCTTTTACTGTTTAAGTAAGTAGGCAGTTTTCCATTTGTAGATAAAGTCCAAAAGCCTAGAAAACCTTGTAAAGCTCACAGAAGTGGCAACCTGCCAAACCCCCCCCCCCTGCCATCATACAATGCAACCTACTACTATTATTATTATTATTATTATTATTATTATTATTATTATTATTATTATTATTATTGTTGTTGTTGTTATTGTTATTGTTATTGTTGATTGTTATTTTAATCGTTTTTTTTTTTCATTTTTGAGTAAAAATTTCAAAAAAAGTGAATTTTTGAGGTAATTTTAAATTTTAGGGGACACCAACCAACATCTGGTTCTGCTTTTGGGGCACATGTGTTGAGCGTTTCCGCTTTGATTTCCTCCCAACTTTAAGTCTCATCTCGTCTGTGTGCGTTTCACCAAATTATTTTCCTTTTCCTTTTAAGTTTCCTTGTTTAATACTTTGAATCATCCTTTTTTTATCAAATTTATAATTACATCTGCACGAAGTTTTTTTTTTTTTTATTATTTTGTCAATAATATTTTTTCTGTATATGTGAAAACTTTTTGAATATGGTGTTAGTAGATACATCCATGGTTGAGACATGAGTTTTGGACCTTGAATTTGATTTAAAATTTTATTATATTAATAAAATTATTTTTATTTAATTTTAATTTTATAATATGTTTAAAAATATTAAAACTTTAATTATATTTTAAAAAATTTAGGTTTTTAGACTCGACCAACCAAGTCGAACCTCAGACAAATCTTTTAAAAAATTAACCAAACTCGATCCAATCCAAACTCTAAATAAATTTTAATGTAAGACAAATCCTTCTCTTAATAACCTTCAACCTATCTTATTTGGAGTTAAATTTGAGGCCTTGAATTGAACAGTTCAAGTCCTATTGTAATTAATACTTGGATATATGTGTTGAATTAATTTGGCTTGCTAGATCATAATCATCAGTGATGCATATCAACATTGTCACCAAAGACCACAATATATTAATGCTTTCCATCATTTTCAAAATAATATATTTCTTATGTCAAAAAAAAAAAATTTGAGGAAGAGGAAAATGTGAACAAGCACAGCCAAAATGCTTTGAACTGAAAATAAGTATTTTGAGTGTCAAAAATATTTCTCTGAAACAGAAATAAAATTCTATACTTTAGTATTTTAGTTGGTTTTTTTTTTTCCTTTAAAAGAAAAAATTTCCACTCAAATTTTCTCTCCTTTCCCTTTTCCCCATTCCTCGTTCAAATTCAATATATTCTATCTACTAGCGAAATGTTATCATATAAAAATATTATTTTACAAAATAATGAGACATATGATAATATTTTAACACCGTCTATAAATTTTTAAAAAATTCTTAAAAATCAATTATTTATATTTCAAATACCTTGCATCGATCATTTCACAATGATACAATAAATATTTATGTAAACCTATATATCGAGCTGCCTTCAATAAGGAAGAAAAAAACAAGGCACCATTCTGTCACCCTTATTATCAAATAAAAACCAAACCAAGGATGCATCTACACAATATAATCCTAGAAAATAAGGCAAAAGAAAAGAAAAAAAAAATACAAGAGACTGCAAACCACGACTGAAAAACCCAGAGTCGGTTCCTGTTTTATGCTTCTCAATTCTACTATATATAATAATAATTTTGTAATTTATATAATCATGTAAATACAAAGAGTGAGAGGGACAAAGTGTTCGAAGTTTAAGCCAACCTTTAAGACCTATTTTCCTCCTCTCGTTTAATATAAAAAGTTTACAGGGAAGATGGCAGTGCCACTGTAAGCCATGTTTGCTTAACGTTACAGTACACACCCTTCATTTAATTTAATAAATTATTCCACCATTTTTTTTTTGGACCATCACTTTGGATTGTTTCTTCTCTTGTAGATTTTATTAAAAAAAAATAAGTTGTCCCTTCACTTTAACAGCGACCCAGCTTTCCATGAATTCCTTCACATGCACTTCCCATGTAGCCGAAACCTAGCTTTCCTTTTCCAACCCTTTCACATCCTCTTTTCTTCCTTCTTTCTTTTACCATTTTGACCCCACTTTTCAACGTTTTTCACATGCATTTTCTTTTATAATTACACTTTTTTTTACAAAGATACAGAATAAAAACAATGATCGTAAGAGTTAGAATTTAAATTTTATATCTATTAAATATTATTTTTTAAGAATAATTGTATAAACTTAAATTTCGAGTTCTACATCGTCTCATAAGATACAAGTACAATTTAAATGGGTTTTTCTAGTGTAACAAATTGAGACTTATTCAAAGGATCATGAGTTTTTTTTTTTTTTTTTTTTTTGCAAGGCCAAAATTTTATTCATTATAATAATTGGCTCATGCTACAAGTTCATAGTTCCATCCTAATCAACTCACAAGGAAAACCCTGATTGTTAATACACAATCCAACACTCGAAAAGATTCAACAGGCATACCACCTTTGGAAACAGGTCAGTAACATGAAAATACAACTCACAACCAAGTAATATAATTCTCAACCAAGTAACACTAAACATAAAATATGTGATGATATAGATAATGTAACAAGCTATATCAATTGGAAGAGAAAGAAATAACGACTATGATATTAATATTGCTAAGCTTAAGTTTGGCTTTGTTAGTGGGTCGCAATTAAAATTGTGATCTGAATAACAATAACAATTGAATTTAAAATTTATAGCTCAAATAGAGATTTAAGTTAAAAAAAAAAGAATATCTTTATCTTATTTTTTTCAAACCACAATTTGCAATCCACTCAATCACAATGCCAAACTCCTTGAAAAGTAAGATAGTAAGCTAGTAACAATAATAGCCAATGAGTACTATAATACTACTATGTACGTTTAGCTTTTTTATTTATTGGGATCTAATGGGTTTCATTAGTACTATTCAGAAGGCGGAAAATGTGTAACATTGGCATTCTCTTGACTGCTAGCTAATTATGTTTCTTTGCTGATCGAATAGAATATTTGATGAACTAAAGTCTAAAACACACCGAAAAGTGTGCTTTTCACCTTTTGTCAAGTATGAAAAGTAGATGAACAAGTTTGAATAATAGGATACAAAATCCTTAAACTAGGGAAGGCTAGTTAGCTAGAATTGAGTCGATTAATACTTAATTAGATAAAAGCTTTGAGAGGCAATGAAGTAATTTCAATTCTAGGAGGTGCAAGCAACATAAGGGTGATTTGGTAACTTTAGAAAGTAACATTCCATCAGGATGTTTATATAAATTCAACCCCCTAATGTATTCTAGACTGTGTATTCATGTGCTTTGTTTTATCTGCTATATTTTAAACTTGAGCCTCAAGACCATTTTTTTTTTCTTCACAGTAATGGAAGATCAATCTCCGGACCCTAACAGTCCGAGCCATGGTTCAGAGAGAAGCGAACCAGTCAGGTCAAGGTGGACTCCAAAGCCAGAACAAATCCTCATACTTGAGTCCATCTTTAATAGTGGCATGGTAAACCCTCCTAAAGATGAAACTGTGAGAATAAGAAAGCTACTTGAGAAATTTGGCTCGGTTGGGGATGCTAATGTCTTCTACTGGTTCCAAAACAGGCGTTCAAGGTCTCGCCGTCGACAACGACAGCTGCAAGCTAGCCTTGCAGGAGAACAAAGAAACCAAGCACAACAAGTACTTGGAGGTGGTGCAATTCAGTATGAAAATAGTGTTGCTGCTATGGGGTTTGCAAATTCTCCTTCTTTTGCTTCATCTTCACCTTCTTTCCTCGTTGGTTCCTCGTCTTCTTGCGGTGTTACGGGTGATGATGGAATGGAAAATCTACTCTCAATGTCTGCTCAAATGGGATTTCAAGAAATTGGTCAAAGCTCAAGTGTAACATCCGTTTTGTGCCCATCTGAAACTTCAAATTTTCACTTCCAAACTGGTAATCGCATGGCAGAGAGAGTTAATTCCTTCTTTAATTTACTATTGCCATTTTGTTTTTTATCTTAATTTTTTTCATTAAACTTATTATTGTTATGTTGTGTTTAGTTTATGAAGATGACTTAGAGTACAGGTGATTCATGTCATCCACTTAAAAACTATACTTTCTTCACCCAAATTTATCTTTTAAAATTCACGAATTTGAAAAGTCAGTTGATTTTATTCATTTTTTCCCCTTTTAGATTGAAAATGACAGAGAATAAAGTGTCTATAACAGTAACTTTCTTGTGATGTAAAGTGTTTAGTGTTTGAAAATAGAGTTGCACTATACCCATAAATTTGCTGCATTATTTTTTTTTTTTCATTTCCAAGCTTTCTCTTGGCTTATTTGAGAAATTTTTGAGTTTTGAAGAGAAATCAATTTTATACAGGAGGAACTAATGATTGAAAGAAACCTAAAGATCCTAAGCCAAGCACTTTATTTTTCTGAGGTTTTCTTAAAGATTCTCTACTTTCTTAAGATTGAAGCTTTCTTCCAATATTTAAGGGAACAATGAAAAGGAAAACCTTTAATTCTTTTCTCAATTTCTTTACAGAGTCATCAGACCTAAAAGCTTCCATTATATTTGGAGAATAGGCTGCTATTACACCAGTTTTAGAGTTGCAGTGCTGAAATTCTGCAACTGACTTAAAGCTGCAAATCTGCAGCAGTAATGGAAATTAATAAAGTGAATCTTTAATGTAAGACATGAATTCCCTTGTAATTACTAAAATTCTTTTTGGCTGCTTCTCAGGATTCATCACAGTCTTCATCAATGGAGTGCCAACAGAAGTTCCAAGGGGACCTCTTGACTTGAAAGCCATGTTTGGTGAAGATGTAGTGTTGGTCCATTCCTCGGGTGTGCCTGTCCCCATGAATGAGTTTGGCTTCTTAGTTCAGAGCTTGCAGCATGGGGAAAGCTATTTCCTGGTAAGTGCATTTGGAAGACAACTATGTCAGTGCCTAGCTCTGTGGCCACCGAGAATTTTAGAGCAGACTCTTGGTCTAAAATTCTATGTTTTTCGATGATATTTGAATTCAAATTTCTTCTTCTATCTCCTTCTTCACCTCACTCGACAGTTGTTTCCTTCTTCTTCGCCATCTCCCAACACATTCTTGCTACCTCTTCCAAAAAGCTCCTCTACATTTGGAAATTTTCTTTGAAATGTTTAGAGATTTTGGTTCCATAATTCCATATAGTTTAAATCACAATATCTTTTTCTAGAGTATAATTTTTTTTATAACTAATGTTGTACTTTGTTTCTAAGATCTTTTCAAGAACAAAGAACACAAATTTTTTTTGGTAAAACTGGGTGAGAGGGAATTTTTTGGAATTCCTCGAGAAGATTCACACTGTGCACACAATCTTTATGTTTATAAAATTTAAAGATATGCAGAGATCATATATACCATACCCCTAATTAATTATGTTGAAAATTAGGGTTTCTAAACTTAATTTTACATTCAATATACTAATGTTTAGAATGTAACAGCAAATTAATTCTGATTCAACTTATCTTATGACCCTAAGGGTACAAAGTTTACCAATTACATCTCATATTCAGATATAAAAAAAAATTGTTTTGATTACAGGTTTCAAGAACAATTTAAAGAGAAAGCTGCAAAGGGAGCTGCCAGTATTTTGTGATAATATGCAACTATTCAACAAGACCCAAGTTTCCCTAGCTATATATTTATTGCTTTATTTATATCTCTCCTCTATTTCTTTCCTTTTTATTATCTATTGTTTTATAGGAACTTATTCAACATGAATATTACATAAATCTTTTCTACAACCCAAGATTAGAACGCATGCTACACGTACATACCTATTTATATATATATATATATATATATATGTATGCTGCATTTGATGTTTCATGCTACAGCAAGATCATATATGATCTTGACTCCAGTATTACTACGCCTTTCCATCTAGTTTCCAGCCATTGTTTTACCATGTATATTGGATGTTTCCACGTTTCAAATAAATAGAAACCTGCTAGTTTATAGGCATTCAAGGCAATCAATCGGGGCAATGATCCAACTATCCTGACATAAATGACGTTCTAAATTTGTAAAAAATTTATGGTGATGATGGTAGAAATGGCGGAATGCATGCATGTTAATGGTGAATGGGAAGTTATGTTGAATTATAACTTCTAGTTCGGATCTTATAGATTCCTGAATTCCTTCCAATCCCCAATTTCCAAAATTCTGCTGATTTCTTATTTGCCCAAATAAATGAATTTGACAGTACTGGGTATTAATTCACCACCTAAAAAAAAATGTTCTCAAGTCTGCTATATCTTTTTTTGTTACATTAATAAGGATTTGACTAAAATTTTCTATCAATTTCTTATTGCATCTCCTTTCAGAAGCTTCAATTGGAAGTTTTAGCCTTTTAATCATTAAAAGTTTTATTTTTCATCAGTTTTTCCGAAGACAGAAGCCATTTTTCAAAACTTACTCTGCTTAATTGGTCATAGCTTTCTAAATTTAAGTAGATGCTTTAAAAGTTGGATTTATAACATGCAAAAGATAAGCAACACACACACATATAGGTTTAATAAGATTAATCAATAGTAATCACAAATTTTCTTCCTAATTAGAGTTGATCTCAACTTTCATTTTCCAATTATAGCTATAAACAAAAAAAAAAAATCAAGGGCAATGACAAAATGTCTGAAAATGGACCAGTTCAAATAGCTTTGATAAAAGAAATAAAATCTTTTTATTTAAAATTTGTGTTATTTACACATACTAGCTATATCATTTTATATTTGTCCTCCTCAAATTCCGAACCAGGTAGCGCACCCTAAACATCATTACTTTGCAAAGTAAAACCCTAACGTCAGGACGGATAAAGGGTGGGGGCAATGGATGCAGCTGCCCTCATTGGAATCTTGAAAATTAATTTTAATTAAAGTTATTTAAAATTTTAATGATTTTTGCATTTTGTCCCATATTAAAATATTAAAAAAGTAATTAGAATTACAAGAAATAATCCAAAATTTTTATTTTTTATTTTAGATCCCATTAATTGTAAAACAAAAGTTCTTAAGTATGAGTCTTTTATAATATTAAAAGATATATGAATATGTTAAAAATTAAAAAAAAATTCAGTAAAATAATAGTTCATAATATAAATAAAAAATTATTATATCAATATTATTGATAGTAAATATAATAAATTTGCTCTCATTAAGTATAAATCTTGAATCTGCCCTTACCAAACATCCTTATTAAACAGCTTAATTAGTGTTGTAATAAAAAAGAAAAATAAACAATTAGTATCGATGATAGAAATGTATTTTAAACTCCAAAAAAATTATTAATAAGATAATCAGGTCTATTTTAAATTAGTAGATTTTTAATTTCAATGAGTAAGACAAATGGTTGATTGTCCAAAATAAACTAGTATTATGACATATATTTAAACAAAAAAAAATTAGATAGAAGAAGACTACTTTATTTTAGAATCAAGACATGCCATAAACTTAGTTAGGACTTATATTTAATTTACAAATCATTTATTATTGGAGACTGTTAATAACAATAATTAAACTTAAATTTTACAAGTAAAATATTTAATCCTTATGAAATTAACTAACTCTAATTCATGTTACTACTATGATATTAATAACAAGAAAGGCAGTTTCTACATTCCAGGAAAGAACCAAAAGACAGTTGTTTCCTAATATTTTCCGTGAAATTAAGTACCCTTTAACACAGAAACAAATTTTCCTTTTTTTTTTCAAATAAAAAATCTTTCAAGTCGGTGATGAAAAATTTTCGGGTCAGTACGGTGGATTCCCATTGAAAGGAAGTTTCAAAATCCAAAGAGAAATGATTAATGCAAGGCAACTTGGCCTTCAACACCGACCAATATAACCAATCTGAAGCAGACGGATGTTTGTTATGATCTTTTTTTACTATCTAATTCCTCATAAACATATGGCACATTTAATGAGAAATGCCCCATGTGGAAATTCCCTAGTTAAAAATCTTTCATTGGTTGGCATGTGAATTATCAAAATTTTGCCGCTGTTGTTATTAGATTCTATAATTTTTTGCTGACCAGGAAACAAATAGTCAACTTGCTTTGGGGAATCCAATGGGAGTTTATAAATTTATAATCATGTCCATGATTTGAAAGTGTGGAGCAAATGTTCCTTTCAATGTAGAACACCCTCCAAATCCATTCCAAGTCTTTTCAATTTGTTGTTTAACCTTGTTTAAACATGGACACACAAACAACAAGATTAACTTAAGTGAGGAACAATGTGCTTGTTTAAAAATTAAAAATAGCACTTTGTTTCTCAAGGAACAATGAAGAAAACAGAACAAAAAAAAAAAAGAGATGATATGATTTTTTGTATTTGGGATTATTAAGATTTGAATTTTAATTATTAAAAATAAAAGTTCAATATGCTATTAACAAATCATATGATTATTGATTTAAATGATTTGATTTTGTATTCAAAAATTTTTTTGTACTAATTAGAAATTATTAGGGTTTAAACTTTAATCACTGCAAATAACAATCCAATAATTTATCAGATAGAACAATGGATGTCTTTGTCATTCATTGATCGTAGCTTACGCTACATTTCCTTTTTGTTCTATGATAATTGGGTTATGCACATGGTAGATCTCTTATTCTGCAGTACAATCTCAAATCATATATATATATATATATATATATACATATTTTCAATTCCCTTATCTATAGATCAATTAATCTACGAGAATTTACAATATCTCTTTCTACCACCCAGTGTGTTGGCTTGGAATTTGGAGAAGTGGGATAAGTAGTTGAAGTTCGAATTTCTTATTGAGTTTCGTTGGCTACTCTATCTTTTCTGGCCTCACAAGTTGTTGTTGTATGAAACACTGATAAGCATGTAAATCTTAGTACAGCTCAAATTCCTAGCAAACATTCTACTACGATCTACATTTGTTTTCTTCGAAATGATTACTGCTAATTATCTAATACTTCATACGGACAAAATATGAAAGGGAAAAAATCTCCTGAATTGGTCAGTTGACGTTCATGAAGCTTATCTTTGGGTATGTGAATTGGCAGTTGTTGTTTCAGTGTTCATACACGTAGTACTGAAAGAATTATGATGATTTGCTGTGTAGATCCAAATTACATAAAAGCGTCTGAGAACATTGCTATGACAATTGGTCTTTGCAAGAGGGAGAATGTGAAAGTTTGGGGATTGATTTGTGTGATTGCATGCAGGAGTCTGAAAGGTGTTAATGATCATATAGATAAAGCCAAATTATCAACTTCTTTTTCTGCACATCCAAAGCAAGGTTTAGACAGCAGTTGATACCTTCCCCTCCCCCCTGATTTGACACTTTCGAGAAAACCCACTTGAACCCATGAAGGAAGTGAGCTAATAACCATGATAATTCCCCAAAAACCCATAATAGCTAGAGATCCTCTCATTCCTTGTCAAAATAAAAACCCATTTTTCATTTTCAAACAATGAGTCATATCCTCCATTCTACTTGCTTCAACAATGAAGGAAGGCGGCATCTTTTCGTGGGTAAAGTCGGAGGAGACAAGAATTTTTCAAAAGGAGAGAGATAGAGAAGGGAAAATAGAGAAATAAAATGACTATTGAACTAGGAAAGAGTTGTTATAAAAGTGCTAATTTGTGGCATTACTCGTCATCCTGAAATCTCTGAAAGTGACTTTTGAAATTCTGAATTTCTGATGACGATATTTGAAATTGGATTAGCTTTAACTAGCAAAAAGTGAAGCTTTTAAGGATTGACAAAGTGGTTTTCAATAAATTAATGGGTTGGAGTACTGTGAGATTGAAGCGCTCACATGCAAAGCTTTTTTTTTTGTTTTTTCCTTTGTATAGGTGTTATTTCTGGGTTCAGACGTGCGATGAATTGAATTGAAGTAAAACAACTGAATTTCATCTATAATTTATTATTATAAAATTATAATTATTCAATCATAATAAAAAATTCTATAAATATTCATCACATATAAATATGAACTCAATATAAAATTTTACTAAATTACACATAATTTTAAATTATAATTAATTATAATACTATGATTATAAGTCATATGTTCTCAAACAGTCTCACTATCACTATCATTCATATTTTCAATTTTGACAGTCTCACCATCA